CAAACTTTCCCATTGAAAATAATGGAAATCCAGTTATTCTGTTCTGCACTCTCAAAAATATCAACATAAAAATTAATTTTTCTGATAAATAACATTAAATAATATAAGTGTAGTTTACCTTTATGGTAGCTCCCAACACCAATCTTATAATTGCTTCTCGTTAATCCTCACCAACAACAGCTTCTAGGAGTTTTGGATGGTGCTTGGAAGCAATGGTAACTCCTTTGGCTACATCAAGTTTCCTAATTTCTTCCTGTTTCTGCAGAATAGTGCAAATCGTCTTCACCAATTCCGTCACTCTTAAACCACGCTTTTTTATCTATGATTTCTTTTTTAATTTCAACGGCCATGGCTTCCTTATTTTTCTTTCAGCACTATCTGAGGCAACAATCTTCTTGGGAGGCATCGTGAAATAAATATTTTCACATTAAAGGTAGTAAACAATCGACTCACAAGCGGCACAAGATGTAGATCAAAGAACACCGAGTGATCTGCCGAGGAGATTCCTCGAGTTGAGCCGGATCGGGAAATGTCGCCACACATACTTACAGCCTGGCTCGTTGCTCGTTACTCGAGTCAGTGCTCATATTTAGAGACAAATGTTTCGCTCTTACTTTCCTCATATCTCAAATTTCTCGTATGTAGAGGTGCAGGTATTTCGAGGTTGCACTGTATATAATATTCCACTTGAGAGGTAGGTGACAGGTATAATGTCTCATGCTTGGCAAATGAGAATATGTGACATAGATCTACATTTTAAAATTATTTTTTTTTTGTCTTTTGAAAACATATTATTCCAAAATACATGGCAGACAGATGATTGAAATCATATGGGTGTGATATTGACAGCTGATGAGTACATTATCATGAAACAGGTTCAGAGGTTACTTGCACATGCTTCATAATGATTTTTGTGCAAGGATTAACTTCTTGTACCACTTCCCTTTCCATAGTTTAAACTTGAAAGTACTGTATCAGTTTATTTCACTTTGTATTCTTTTATATGTCGTAAGACTCTTTTATGAAGATAAACCAAAATATAGCAGTGAAAGTTAAATTAGTTTTGTTTATAAGAATTAAGAGAAAATTTTAATTTCTTACGACCTACTACCTGTAGTTAACAGTATATCTACCACAGCTATGGGAACAGGTAAAAGCAAGCTAGTCTGTCCTCCCATGAAGCTGATACAACTCAAGTTTTTCCCATTCATGCACAATCCCAACTTCAGTGGTGCTAGATTTCAAAAGAGTGGAAATTATGTTCCTTAGGTAAAAATAAAATTGAAAGTGTTCATGTATAAAATATAGTGGATTGGCATAGCCCTTCTAGTCCACTCATAGTGTGCCACTGTAAAAGTATCACATTTTTTGAGCTTCTGCTAAGAAACTAAACAATCAGTTCAAATGTTCAGGATCAGCAGTTAGGTAGTTTGAATAAATCCATCATCTAAAAATGTCCCAAACTCATTAAGTTGGATGGAATTAATAGTATTACTCATTAATTGTAATTAATTGTCTCTTTTTTAGTCTCACCAGTGCAAGACCACACACAAGTGTGATCACCTATCAAAGATAATTAGAGTTTACGTAGGATGTTTTTCAAATTTGTCATACACACTGACCCTGTGCCGTTGAGCTTCTACTTATTTTCCCCGTTTTCAAAATTTCTTGTATGGTTAATTTTCAGTCCAGAGAAAGCTGTAAATCAGAACTTTATTCAGTTTTTTGCTGATAAAAAGTCTTTCTATGACCTGTTTTTAGGTCTTGTAAAGGAATTATGAAATTTGATTAAAGAAAGCAAAAGTTTATTGAACAAAATATGTGATACATCATTGATTGATCTTTGGCTTTATAAAAATGAATAGTCTTTGAAAAATAAAGCAAAAACATGTCAAGAATTTTCAGAGAACTTAATAACCTTATGACTTTGTAAGTATTGTAAACAAAATAATTCACTATGTGTTAATTTTTGTTTTGTTTACTTATGTATTTGGTAAGGGAGGGGTGCAATAATGTAGTTACTGGCATCTTAAAGGCTAAGTAAAGGTACAAAAATATAAATAGTATATAATAAAAACCTTGAAAGGTTTCAGATTTTAAGGTTGCCCAAAAGAGATTTTTAAGCTCTTGCACTCATTCCTGCGAACCCATCTTTTTTTTGGGGGTGGTGGTGGTGGTCTTTTTAGCTTTATTAGCAAGCATCCATTTATTTGCAGTTATGTGCCACATACAATTCAACCACAAAATTTTTAAAAGCTGCTTAGTGGCATATGTTTAGAATTCTGATGCAGTGTTATGTGTTGGCATACCTTTGATATTTTTTTCAGACTTTTTTAAGTTCATCATATCAATATTCAGTTTTCTAGTTCATCATATCAATATTCAGTTTTCTAGTTCATCATATCAATATTCAGTAAATAAGATGGCTAACAATTTTTTTTCGTCTTTTTATTATTAACTTTTTATGTGTTAACTTTATTTATCAACTGTTATAATTCTTTGAACTTGTGTCACATAAATTCTATTCAGCAAAAAAATCACAACATATTTAAAAACATTTTCTTTAGAATTCCCGATAAAGTGTTAGAAGTTACCATACATGTTTTTATTTCTTTAAAAACACCTAAAACAGTTATTATGAAAAAGGAAATGTATATAATCATTTTAATGAGTCCAGCAAGTGAAATTTCATAAAAATATTGAATATTTCTAATTAGACATCTCATGACTTTAATACATGTTTATTTAAATCAATAACATTAAAAAGTAAAAAAAAAAAAAAAATATTCTTAAGAACTGTCTTTATTGCTTTTAAATCACTCTGTGTATTACTCAATAACCTTTCACATTACATTTGAAAGTTTATTAGGGTTTTATTAAATGGCAACATGCAGGCACATGGAAGATGAAAGTATTTTATTTCTGGGCCGTAGCAACATATTGCTTTCATTGAGCCGAGTTTGTTAATTAAAACTGAAAAATAAATGGCCTCCATAATTTCCGAATTGCAACAGTCTTGCACGCTGGGGAGAAAATTGCTTTATTTCAAACAGTGTTGTCACTGCTTGTTTTCAAATTGTTGAGTTTGTGAATCAAAAATTCATTTAAGTTTTAAAAATATGACATAAATAATTAAACACATTCAAAATTCAGGCTTCTAGGTGCACATGTTTGGATTGAGGATTACATTATTCAAAATTTGATCACTCTAAGAACTGGCATTTTTTTCACAATGTGAGGAACACACATATATGCAGATTCTTTATTATTTCATTCCTTAAAAAATAATACAGGGCAATAATATTTAGTGACAACAATTTGAAAAGTGATACCGTTTATAGTGAACCTTTGCAAATTCCCATTTTGAGATTGATAACCCCTTTTGGGCTTTAAAAAGAAAAAAGAAAGAAAGATGATTTATGAGATGAAGTTAACAATATAATATAAAAAAGTGCAATCATTGAAAGAAATTAAAAGAAACAAAATGGTTATTGGTATAATTTACAAATGAGTTTCATCTAAAATTTTTATCTTGCTTAAATTACATTTAATGCATTGTTAACTTAAACTCTATTTATTCAGTATTCTCAGTTTTCTTCAGATGGTAAGCTTTCAGTTATTTTTTGAATTTTTGAAGAATATTCTATATACTACAGAATTAATCTGTATTTGTATTGATTATTGAATACTAAATTTTTGTTTAAATAATGTGCCTAAAAATGTATGATTTACGGCAGGGTTTCTTAAACTGGGGGTCGCCAGAAATCGTAGTAGTTTTGATATTTCTTTAACTTATTATTCCCTCTTCCCGGGGATTGACGTAGAGAACCCTGCCAAGCTAATGGCTAAAATCTGTGCCTAGGCAGTCTCAGCCACAGGGGTGTAAAATTTATGAACTTGGTGGTTCTGAAGGCCCTGGGAAAGGTCACTTTTTGGTCGGCCTCAGAGTCTGGCAGGTCTCGAACGGTATGGCTCTAGTAACCAGGGGGATAGCGTTCGCTGGGTAATGTCCCACTGCAACGGGCAGCCCAAGCGACTGGCAGGTAGCAAATCCAACAACCAGTGGCTGCCTGGAAATATCCCAGGTGGTGCACCAGCCCTTCTTAGGGGCCAGAGCGGAGGTTGAACCGCCGCGTCTAGTTTTGAGGGGGAGTTGGATCTGTAGTACGGACCATAAGGGTCACGTGGAGCAGAGAATGCCAATATTGTTGTTGTTTAACTTATTATAATAATTTTACAATTACCAAATATTTTTACACAATGTATCTGAAAATAGATAAAGATGAGAAAATATGGACAAAGAAAGAAAGAAAAAAAAAAAAAAAACGAAACATTTCGACACATTCTTTTTATAATATAAACGTTCATTTACCTTGCTTTGCATGTGACCCTATCATTTCATCTGTTACTTATTTAAAATTTTCATTGTTCTATATCTTAAAATTAGAAATTAATGACCTAAAACTGCAATAGTATATTAATGTACAAGTGAAAAAATTGACAGTTTCACTCACGCACGTGTCGGATTTGCGCAATACTTATCCCGCAAAATTTTTGTAAATATTATGGAGTCCTGGGGGTTGCAAAAGAATCTCAGTGACAAAAAGGGGTCACGACTGAAAAAAAGTTTAAGAAAGCCTGATTTAGGGAAATCAAAATTAATGCTGGCAAAATCTGTTGTTCAAAAAGTTGCCACATTTTAATATGTTCAATATTTATACTTATCTTGTTAGAAAAATACGAGTACTCCACAAAAAATTGGAAAGGGCATATTTTATACCATCTGAAGATAAAATAAATACTTTGAATTAAAAATAATTGCAGTTCAGTAAAGCGTATTTTATTGTAAATAAATGCTTAGAATATTAAGTTTTTCCTTAAAGCTTTGTATATTTGCTATAATTATGTAATGTCCGTGTCTATAATTTATGTAATTTTCTCATAGTATGAGGTTAGCAATTTTTTTCATGTTCTTAATTTGTACATATGTAATATTTTAGTTGTCCATGGCATTTAAACAGCTTACATCTCATAGTTGCAAGCTCGTACAGCCATATGTCCCTTTTGTTTTTAAGGAACTGAATTTGGTATTTACAAAAGGTAAGATTTCAAAACTGTTTCCTAATATTATTAACTTGATTAATAGTATAAACAATGCTAATAATATTTATAGTAATAACAATTGACTCTTTAAAGCAAAGTAAATTTTTTTTAATAATGAGTGAATAAGTATTTTAATATAATTTTATGAATATGTAAAACAAGTTTTTAGATTTTGTATAACAGTTTTACAAAAGAATTGCAAGAAGACTGTAAAAATTACATAATGACATTCAAGCAAGGTCTTTCAAGAAATGTGAACATTAGATCATTTTTTAGATATTTAAAGAAAAATTTTAAGAACTTTAAAATCTTTAGAGGAAAGACTTTTACAGACTTTTAAATTGGGTTATCTTTTATGTATTGTATAATATCATATTTGTAAAATTTAAAGTTTATCGTTCTCACATGCAATCTTATTTCAGATATATATGTTTGACTAATTTAAAAAACAAAATGACCGGGCATAGAAAAGCCTAAAGGCTGTGGTCCTTGAATAAGATCCTTTTTCATTTTTGTTATTCAGTCATATACATTGTAAAAAATGTTTATCTTCGTTTCCTAATGATTTTTCTAAAAAGGATTTTCTGTTCCTAAGCATTTTTCTTTTTGTAGAGAAGTATTGTAACTTTAATTTGCAATAGTTCTTTAAATCTCTATTTTGGGTTTGGTATTTGTTTTAAAAATAGCTATTGCTAATAATAAAATTCTCCAAGTTGCTTCATTTCAAAATTAATAGCCATCACATGACTCATATAACACTGGTAACATAGATAGCTTTGTGAACTAAAATTCAACCAGAAAATAATTTTAGGATGTTATTAATTAGTCAATCAAATGATATCAAAATCAACGCTAATTAAACTAAGACTTCACCTAAAACACATCCTACCTGCTTTTTGCTTCTGTTGCTAATTAAATATGCTTCCGTTGCTTCTCATTTTATCGCAATTATTTTTAACACATAAAAGTTCTGAAATTACCGATTAATGTGCCAAGTTCTTGTCGGCTGCAAATGTAATGCAAGGATATATGCAGATATCATATGTTCATACAGTTTTGATTAACTATCCGAACATATGCTAACTAGGCAGTCTGTGAAGATGCCAGAATTTTAAAGGATTGAGAAGTTTATTTAAATACTGATACAAGTATTTATAACTTTCAAATGATCAATTTTGATGACATTCTTGTTTCTATGGCTGAAAGAAGGCCAGTGTCATTGGACTAACTTGCTCACTTCTCTAACATATGCATTGATGTAGGACAGCTAATCAAAGATGTCACTCTTTTCTTTGGCTTTGATCACTGTATAATATCTTGAATGTAGAAACAGTTCCAAAGAAGTCAAACAGTTGCCCAAAAACTTGTACGTGGTCAAGAAAGGTTTACCACCCCATTTGAAGATTGGTATATTGGTAGAATAGCAAGCAAAATCTATTCTACAACTGGTCCATGGTTGCGGTATCACATGGTAAGACAGTGTCTGCAAGTATGGTGCGCCAGAAGCTTTGCATGAAAGGACTGTACACCTGAGTACCATGTGTTTGTCCTGTCCTCCACTAACCATCCAGTCCAGAGACACACAAGATAAGTGGTTTTTTCAGAATCTTAGAATGTCTCAGATTGTCACAATATCCTGTTTATGGATGAGTTAAGATATGACCTAGAATTAGATGACAAGCATGTTGAAGTCTAGAGAGAATAAGGCCCAGAACATCATTGGACATCAAGCATTCAGTAGTGGCAATAGCATGATATGGTCTGAAATTTCAGTGGAATACCATACGTTGCTAAAAATAATGTGATAAATTTGTGATGGCTGTGTAGTGTCAGGATAAGTCCTACACCCCATCATGAGACTGCACTGCATCAGTTGGTCATTCTTATGATATTGCTCATTGAACCCGCACCATTAACAAAAACCTGGAGATTGAGGGCATTTCTCATTTGGAATAGTGGCTATCTTCCTCTGACCTTATTCCATTGAAATCTTTGGGAAGCATACTGTCTCTACATGTTTCCCCCTTCCAGCCAGTCTCAGACAATTGCAAATCATCCCAGTAGAGGAATGGCATTGCTAGCCTCTGCAATGTTCCATTACATTATTGAAAGCAAATACAGTGTATGAAGGTTCTGGGTAAGTCACATACCTTATCCCTCTGAGCACCATAATCAGCCTTATCCGATCATGAAATTTTTTGTTACTTGGTACATTAGGTTATAATTTGAGATATTTTGCATTCTTACTTTCTTTAATATCATAACTGTAAGTTTATGAAAATAGAGATTAAAACAAGTAAGTACTGTCTAACCACACTAGCGAGAGCAGTTTGGCTGAGAGCCAGATGGGTCAGTTTAATTGAAGGGGTGTGGGTGAAAAACATGGGTATTTTCCCCTCTCGGACTGTGGAGTCAGTAGGTAAAATGATCAACTCTTAGAATTTTAATGACTCCTCCTTTATATATATGTAAACATATACACATGGGTACAGCTTATTTTTAAAATTTAAAAGTAATAGATGCTACAGAAAAAAATTGATTCATAGCAAATTTTTATATTAATTAGCATTTATTATGAAATGGAAAAACTAGCATTAGTTATTTCTAAGAAACAGTAAAACTTCAGCAAGATCTTCTTTGTTAGAGGACCATAGATACGATTTGATAAACTTCAGAACTAAGAAGAGTCTTTCCACACTGATTTGAATAGGAAGAAGGGCTTACTTCCTTTAACTTTTCAGGATAGATTTTTATAAGTTCTAAAAGAGGTGGTTTGCAAGAGTAGTTATATTTATCTATTTCTTCAAAGGCCGTGTATAAATCTTGTTTGTATTTTTTCGTTTTTATATCTAAAGGCTCTTGGTTATTTATTTTCATTTGCTTTGCCTTAACCTTTTTGCCTTATATTATCCAAATATTTCTCAAAATCTAATTCATCACTGGAAAAGGATGATAGACTCAGTTGCAATATCTGCAAGTTGACTGTCCTGATTTGAATACTCCAGTTGTTCTGAGAATAATTTCATTCTTAATGAAAGTTCAGAGATGGTTTTCTTTGCCTTTTTAATTTGTTTGTCATCCAACAAAATTCAGCATTTTGGATCTACATATATTGAACCCAGCAAAGTCTTATTGTCTAGCAAACTGGTTTCTCTTTTCTTCTTTGAAGAAATGATTCCTTCTGCAATAAACCCTCCATTTCAGAAAGAACAAACATCACATTCTTCCAGTCTTGCCTCTTATTAATTCTTCAGATTGTAGCTTTTTGGTGGCTATTTACAGTATAGAAAGAAGAGTTTCCAATTCTGCAAGATCATTCCACAGTCTTTCTGTTAGTAAAACATTAGGGTTATCTACATCTTCTAGCATTCTCGTCTCCTGTTAATTCTTCAGATTTTAGCTTTTTTGTGGCTATATATGGTGTTGAAAGAAGGGTTTCCAGTTCTGCAAGGTCATTCCACAGTCTTTCTGTTAGTGAAATATTAAGGTTATTTACATCTTCTGAAAAAGTTCTTAATCCTAACAACCATTATATCATCAAATATGTACTTCTCCATTGTGTTGCTCCTTTTCCTGCTCACTTCCTAAGAATGGCATCAATTTTGGGAGTTCTTGCTGCTTATCTAAATTCACCAGTGAGATTAGTAACTAAATGAATCAATTTAATCAATAATGGCAAATATCACATCCATCCTGCTCCCTTATATTTACTTACTAATATGCCAATAAAATAGAAAATAACAAATAAAAACTATTTATTAATGTATATAGTTCATAAATAAAAATATTAACTCAGTTTGTCATTAATTTTTTTTTCAATTGACTTATTGTTTTAATGTTTTAATTTAATTTCAAATTCAAACTGTCCAACAAAAACTGGAGTTGGAATCAACGTGTTTTTTAGCAACTCCGACTCCTTTTACCCAAAAATCTACCTGACTCCAGAGCCCTGCTCGGAGGTCGTAGCGGTTGTAACAGCTTTGATATAGTTATTAATCTCTCATGCATTTGAAATAGATGAATAATAAATAATGTACAGGTTACTGGCGATATTGAAATGCAGGCTCGAGAGCTGCATGCATTTTCTCGCACAAAGCATGTCATTAACTTTTTTAAATAAGTTTTTATACCTTTTCTTCTCTTGTTTGCATGTTGCCATTTTTTTAGTGTAAAATAAAAGTTATTGTTGTGTTCTATCATTGGAGTTTACGTCAAATTGTTTAAGAAGTATCACAGGGTGTGGGTATTTTTTCCTCTCGGAGGTTGGAGGACATTTAGTGCTTTTTCTTACAATCGTTGAACATCGCTTTTACTGACGTTCTTTTACTTTCAAATCTTCGTTTTTACAATGAGTTCTATTATTCCAGAAAGCTCTAGAAATAAACCTTTCCACAGCGATTTTAAGAAATTAGTGTATAACATGATTAAAGTTTTTGATGAAGAATCACAATTAGGGGATTACTGACCATCCCAGTTACGCAGCCAAATGTGTAAAGGGGGAAAAAGGGTATGGCATGCCTAATTAAAACTAAAATAATTTTTATGCAACCTCTTCTCATTAAATTGCTTTATTTTATTTATAGATCATTTGACTATATTATATTAACAAATTAACTTTATTTATTAAAGAATTTAATTATTTATTAATTTATTAACTTAATGGAAGAACCATTTAAATCTAACTGGGCTACTGCACTCACCCCTACATCACTGATAGATATGCCCACTTCCACCCCAAACCAGATGTTTACATAAATATGGAATACGTGGTCAGACAGTATACACGTTTACCTAATAAAGACTGTTTAAATACAGGTCTTTGTGACAGATTTAAAAACCTGCATCACTCGGAGGTTTTGCTTGTATGCTGTTTTGTTAATAACCCAAATCTGATGTTATGACATAATTTACAAAAATTAAATGTTATTTTTCACCTTTGTACATAATGCTTGTTTTTTTTTTTTTTTTTTTTTTTTTTTTTTTTTCATGCATAAACACATTTTCTACTTCCATGTGCAACTTGATATTAATCAAAGCTTTACTTTTTCCATTTGTGTTGATATTATCATTATGTGCTTAACTTTTGGAAGCCAGTGTATTCTCAATAGGATTGGCATGCTTCTTCCAAGCTGGAGAAAATCAGCTAGAAGAAACTGATTTTTTTATTAATGTTAATGTAGTTATATTTTATTCATATATAAAACTATGAAATAAGCAAGCAATTTAAATACAAAAATTAAAAAAAAATTATAAAATCATAAATTGTCATGATCATTCTTGTACTGGGCCAAAAATTGATCAAATGGAAAAAATTAAATGAAATACTACATCAATAAATGTGAGAATCATACCCATTTTTAATTGGAATTAAAAAAATACAACTTTGCAGTTTCTTCCAGAAATTATAAAACATCGAGTCTGATATATAGATTAAACCATCATTAATAATTTATTCCATTATCCTGGAAGAAACTAAACCCCGAGTAACATACATGTCACTGAACCTTAGATTAAATTATTAGTAGTGGCCAGTAGTAGTATTCCTTGCAGTAAAAAGCATGTGCAGAGGGAAAACTCATTATGAAAAAATATGTTAGATTTCAATGAAATTTCTTTTTTAATCTGATCAATGATATTTGTTTAATTAGTTAATATAATAAGTTTAATAACGGATTTTAACTCTTTTAAATTCATGTATATCTGCTTTACATTCCTGGCCCATTTTGAAATAGAAGAGTTGTATTTAAAGAAATATTTTTTGAGGAAGTTTTTTAAATAATTTTTAGTGTGCTTTTTGAAGTTTTTGTTTGTTTATAACATATGCATTTTATGCAAAAAAAAAAAAAAAAAAAAAAAAAAGTTATTTTAAAATGTTATTTATATTTGTATATGTATTAAATTATATATATATTTACTTTTTAAAGGATGGTTACCATGTTTTGCAGTACCTTGTATTTCAACTCGTAAATTCATGAGAGATGTGAACACCGATGCTAAAAGAATTGAAAAATTTGATAAAATGAACTTAGTTGCATCATTTAATCATACATTAATTTCTTCTGTCAATAAGGAATTCATTGACCCATTTATGATCAATTTACCCAAGAAACTTTATATGCCTACGGATGCTGTAAATAATCTAAAAGTATATGAAGATATCAATAACGCTGAAAAATCTATTCAAGAACCTATTTTAAATAACATAAAAATCATTGATGCTCCTATTCCAAACAAACATCCTAGGAAAGAAGCTGTTCGGATGCTTATAATTAGGAGGAGGAAAATGAAAAAGCATAAGCTTCAAAGGCTACGTAAGAGAATGAAGAATGTTTTTGAAAAAATTAAAATGAGAAGAGAACTGAGGAAAGAGCAAGCATTTCGAGCTGAATTACTGTCCCAAGTTGAAATTGCTGAGAAATTTGATGCTAAGGCTTATGTAGAAGGTATTCTGCATACGCTTAGGTATCATCCAAAACCAGAGACAGCTGACGAAAGGCGAGAAAGGTACAGACAACGGATGAAAAAGAACAGGTATCAGACAACAGTTATAATGCCCAGTTTTAGAGATGCTTAGAGATGGATGTTAAAGACATTTCCTAAATAAATTTCAAGTAATTTAAAATATATTTGTATTCAGTTGTCTTATTTAAAATATCTTATAATATTCAAAGGTGTATATGTGTTCAAAGATGAGATTCAAAAATACCTGTTGCTATTTTAGTTTTTGCCGTCAGTTTTGAAAATGATCTCATAGAATTATTTATTTGAGAAATATATCTAGAGCAGTCATAATCAAATTTCATTGTGTGTTAGAATACAATCATATTCAAGAGCCCCATAATCAGGTTTTCCAAAAGTGCAACTTTATATCATCTTAAAAATAATAAAACAGTTTTTAAATAGAAAGAAATAGTTGAAATAAATTAATGATGATGCATTTAAAAAATTAATATAGTTATTTATTAGCTTTGTTCTTTTCCTTTCGTTTAGGATAGTTTCCTACAATATGCAAATCTTTATCCCCCCATACACTCTTTTTTTTTTAGATAAATAACATCACTTGATTTCTTTCATAACATCATTTTTCCTATATAAAAATGCAAAAGATGGGCATCAAAGGTCCCTGAAAGAAACATTGTGCCTGGACTGCCAAATTTATCTGAACTAGATCCTGGAGTATATTTTTCAAACATTAATAATGTAAAATGAGAAACCATGGAGAAACTGAAAATATGGTTATAAATATGATCTAAAAATAAAGTTTTAACATACAACCTTAAAAGGTTTTTCCATAAAAAAAAGTTTAACTTTTCCCACATAACTGATGACAAAGCTAACCAACATAAAGTTGATTTGGAACGATACACATATTACAAAAACTGCCCATGTAATACATTTGCATTGTGAAGAAACAATGCCCTCACAACAGAAGAAGGGAGGGAGAACTTTTATTACTGCAATTTTATAAGTTTCCAATGTGCTCACCTTCGCAAACAATGCACTGCATGCAAGAGATTGTTTTGAGAACACTGACAAGTATCATGGTAGGAGGAATTTTTTAACTTCACATTTTATGGAATCTTTCAGTTCTAACAAATCTCATAGATTTGATGTGCACACCTTACATTTCAAATAACCCTCAAACCAGAAATCTATCGGAGTGAGACCGGGGGATTATGGAACCGAACTTGCCGAACTGTGTGCAGGAGCACCATCTTGCATATATACAATGTTATTAATGACATTTTGTGCTGCAGTTCTGAATTATGTAATCTTGCAACATATTTGTATACTGAGCACTTGTAATGGAGTACGTTTCCATACCTGCAGAAATTACCTCTTCGAAGAAGTATGGATAGAGAACGAATGTGCTTGTGATGCCGTACCACAAAGCAAAATTGTGTAAAGCTGCTGGTGCCACATAGTGAGAATTTTTATCAGATCAGTGAATGTAGATGTTGGAGTTCACATTCCCAAGCCACCTGCTATCGATATCATATCTGATAAGGAAAAAATTTGCAGAATCAATGCACTATAACTTGTCTCCAGGTTGCAACATCTGGATATGCTGGAATTGATAAGGAAACATCTGCTTAACACAGCACAGAAGCTTGAGAACTGTGGTTTTTAGTATATCCAAATTGCAACCAACACTTCTTGTCGTATGCACTTCCCCAACTACTTCGAAAGGAACCTATGGTTGCAGTGATTGTGACCTGTCACATGTGCATCCACTTTCTTCAGAATTTTTTTACCAAATCACGTACAATTTTTATGGAACATAGGCTTTTGTCTTAGCTTATGATTTCGCTTTTTAACTCACACTGCTTTGGAAGCATTTTCCTTGTTCAGATAAAACAGCTTTATCAATTCACCTCATTGTTTGAAGAAACATTCTACTCACACTGCTTAATAAAGGTTTTCCACAAGCAATGCTTTGCACATGGCATTCTGTGATTGGTGCCCCTACTGTCTTTCCCTATGAATTATGCAAAGTGCATTAATGCACTTCCTTTCTGTGTTGTCATTTGCCCATTAAATACTCTTCTTTGCAAACGTTTTATGCCTGCAATTTTATACACATATCTTACCAATGCCATTTATGGTTTTTCAATGTGCTGATCAGTCTGTGCAGGACAAAAGTGGGTGTTGCCATTCAAAAATATCAAAATTTTTTTATTGTAACCATTTGTGACAGCTTTATATTTTCAAATCGATCACATGCCTTCAAATAACAGTATCTGAATTTTCATCTTGATTTGTAATATATCGGGGAAGTTGTTTTTTATCACCACCCTGTATATGGTACTTTAATTATATGGACATCATTTCAGTATACTTAAAAATATCATGATATAGTATTTGAATATATATATGGTTTGGTCAGAGGATTAATGAAATTTTTAAATAATGAAGAAAATTATTACACAGAGTATGAAAGAAGAAAAACTTTTTTTTCAACTTTAAATAGAATATAGTTAATAATTGAGGAAGCTGTTAAGTACGAAAGATTATTCTTAACCCATGAGAGCATACAATGTCTTATTTTATTGCTAGCATTTCCAAGTTAAAAGGTTTCTTTGAATGAAAATGTCTAAATTCATATCAGAAATTTGACCTACAGAAAACTGAAAAGTAAGTTATAAATTATTTTATTCATCTTTTTCGTTCCTTTTTCCATATGTAGACTGGTGCAGATGTTTTACTACCTTCTTTCACAAGTTTGGCTAGGGGATCGTTCTTATTCTAAAAAATAAAAAAAGTTAGCAATTAAAAAAATTTTTGATATGAATGCATAAAAAGATAAAAAATATTAATTGAAACTGAATGGTCACAAAAATGTGTGACAGCATATTTTGAATTATTTTCATAGAGTTAAATATTAAAGAATATTTATAAATTCAGAACTAATATAAAATGTATGAAGTGGTTCAAAAACAGAATCAAACATGACTAATAACAGCGAAAATATATAAAATAAATTCCACAGCATTCCCAAAATAAATGCTGTATTTTCTTAAATACTGATTCTAGATGTATAACTTCTGATTATGTTTCTTGAACTAGTGTAAATACATTTTTATAGTATTAGTTTCAGCACTGAGGGCAGGAATCTTGTAAATTTAATATTTAATTTTATATATCATATCTGTTAAGCAAAAGTTCAATTTTAAGAACCACTTTTTTGCTGCTTTGCATTTGATATTTGTTTTACTCAGCAAAAATACATATGGGTAGCTTATCTTTTTCCTTAATAAAAGAAGCTGTATAAAATTTGAAGTATATTTAGAGGTATTTATCGTCAAACTATAAATATTTCTCTGATGAAGTAATCTTACACAGCAAATTCCAGTCTTTTTAATGCCTTATCATATTCAGTTCAATGACATAGTTTTATCTTGTAACCAATATAGATTTAATCATCTTAACATTTAAGCTAGATTTATCTTTTGACCCCATATTTTTGATACCAGAATATATTCTTTCAGTAATTGTATTTCCCCAGAACAAAGAATAAACTCCAATATTACAAAAGTTGTAAGTTAATATCAGTTACTGCTTCAGTTTAAGTTTTTACCATATTTTTTTAACCAAGTTTCTTTTTTAATTAGCACACAAAGTAACAATTTTATTTTTTTAGGAAAATTTTTATACTTCCTTCAACACTGTATTAGGATATTTTAATAGGTAAAGAAACAAAACACCGCAATTTGGCAATAAGTACCTGAAAAAAGTTTATAATGTCTTTCACATTTGATGCATATACATTTGCTTTTGTCTACCCAAGTATGACAATACACCGTTCATAAAATTATTGCTTTTACGTTAGCATGCACTAGAGGAAATTTTTGATCATAAATTTTCTTTATCAATATCAGCAAGCAGAAATGAAAAATATGGCATGGTATGATTAAACTGCAAGGGATTGCTGCAATTTTATCATCCTACTACATATCACTGTAAATGAGCTGAAGTTTTTAACTTAAGTCAGTATTTTTCAGCATCCTTTTGTTTCTGCTTATACAGATACTAATTTATATTGCTTCTATGAACACTGCAGTATTGACGTACCGCATTTATTTCATTTCTATGTACCTTGTAAGATTAATGAACTTGAACTCTTTCTGAGATCATCATTAACAGTATATTTTTGTCCTCTTGACTTTGCAAGGATATGTTTATATCTTTTAAAAGTAAATTTTCCAATTTCAAGAAATTGCAAAATTTTAACTGTGGACGCTGGATAAGAAAGCTGACAACTGCATACATGCAAAGAGTGGCTAAACATCAGAGTAGTAGGAGCCACATTTTACGATTCAGAAAACTTTGAGAGCCGCAATTAGACTTTCACAGAGTCAATTCCTTATTTACATCATTTTAAAAGTAATGAAACAGATTTTCATGAAATGAAACTTTTGAAGTAAATTAACTAGAATTTTGCATAATCAATATGGTTGTATATAAATACAAATAAGAACATTTATTTATCTCGTTGTATGTTTTGGAAAATTTGTTTCTCCAATATATACTGATCTAACTATCATACAAAGCAATTAGACATTTCAGACAGAAAACCATGTATTTTCTTCTGTGTTTTTTTTCCCCCTTCCTTCCCAGTTTATAATTGTTGAATGGTCTTAGCAGAGATATACTAAAATCAGAAGAAGAAATTGTAATGGTCTTTGCGAATACAATAGATAAAGCTTTTCGTTGGAGTGAAGAATAAAGCAATAATTTAAAAAACAGAGGTAGCATTTTTTTTATTTACTTTTATCTTATATGCATTTCTCTGAAAATAGAAAAATGTGTTAAACAGGATAGCACTATTTGAGAAAACTTTGCTTGAATGCAGTAAATTATGCAAGGGGTATATGATTAATTTTGATTTCAGAAAAAAAAATAAAATAAATAAATAAATAAATAAAATAAACAACAGTAATACATTTTGCTTCCTTTAAAAAGGAAGTATAAACATTTTGATCATAACTTTTGCCAGTAACAAGTTAACAAGCATTTTTGTGTGCATGTATTTCTAATCCTTTCGACCCGACTTGTGCATGATGAAAATTTAACTATGAAAAGTAACTTAATTTAATGTTGACTACTAAAAGATGTGTAATATGGGTTTAAAGTTTTTAACTTTCCTGGAAATCACCTGGGACAATATGTCCTGATCGTCTAGGACACCAGAATTTTACCATTAATTATATAGGTATAGTGGCACCATGCTAAATATGCAGTTCTGTCACAATTTTGATGGAGAACACCCCAGGGAATGCTCCGAAGATCTTTCACTCTCTTCACCTGCTATCAAAGTACTCCAGATGACTTTCGGCTTGCCAATGTTTTGACAGCTCCCATTTCATACAGACACTGTACCTGTAAAAACACTCATAAATTTCACAATTCTTTTTCAGAATTCTGACCCAGGCATATTTAGTGTTAGTGATGCAGTGAGCATCACTAACACTATACTATATCATCTGAGCAGCAAATGATGCTCACTGCAGACCTGAAGCATAATATTATAAGACATATATATACTCACACATAGTGATATTGTGCCCTATTACTTTATTGATAAAATGGCCTTGTTTTTCTTTATAGATAAGCTAGGAGACGGAAAAAAGAAATTCCTGACACCAGAAGTCATGTTTTAGGGTGAAAAATGCTAAGATGCTAATCCTACATAAAAATTGTGAGAAATTTTAGGAATAAAACAAAATTAAGAGAAACATGTCATCATGTGGGTGTATTGGCAAAAATCAGCAGTCTCCCACATCAACTAAGAAAACTGGCACCTCTGTGGAAGCAAATAAAAAATTTATACACATTACAGAATGTTTAATTACAGTACAAAGTCCCAGATGATACTCGTGAGGACTTACGCGATTCCAGATATTAGATCATCAGTTTAAATCTAGTCAGATGGCATGTAGAAATATTAAAATTAAAAATATGAAATCGTGATTTATATAATAATGAAGCATTTATGATTTAAAGGGTATCAAAATTTACAAAAGAAACACCCTTAATATTATTTTTTTTACTTTAATAAACATTTCTTTCCAGTTGTTTAAGTTGCTTCATTTTTTGTGCTAATACTTTCTCTTTAATTCTATAGACAGACATAATTTCTTATTGAGTTACAAAGTTCCATTGTTTCCGACTAACTTGTCAATCGTAATTTTTTCGTCACTCTGGATCTAGAATTCGTCGTATTTTCTGGATCTAGAATCATATTACAGATTTCGCCATCCAGTAATTGATTGATGATTCATCACAGTGAAACACTTCTTTTATATCCTCTTCATTTATTACCACTTCACATTTCTTTACAAAATCCACTAATTGGAAAATTTCACCTTTGGTTTGCGATATCCGAAAACCTTCAGATTCGCGGCTATCATCATAAAATTTAGCTATCATTCACTATACATATTTAGCTATGTATTATGAGACTGGCGACTAAAGACAAGCTGTTCCACTAAATTTTATTTTCTTTTATCGTGCACTGAGACAATTAAACCTGAATTGTATTAGTTTAGTTATTTATTATACTTATGCCTATTTCTTGCACATGCTTAATGCTTATCTGAGTCCTGAATAAATAAATTCCTACATATACTTAAGGCTTTATTGAGGGCCGGCACCTGATGCAGTCTCTGTGGCTCCTAAATTCTGCCACCGGTACCGTCATATGAACTCTGCTGCTGGTTCTGGGTTTATGTGAATAACAAATATGTTATTCTTAATTCAAATAACACTAAATGTAATCTTCTGGCCTATGAGTATCATTAACAAAATCTTCTTTTAGCATATGGAAAGAAATTTTTGTAAAATTTTTCCTGTCAACATTTTTAACTTAAATTTGTAATCATCGCCAAGCGTAATATCAACATAAAAGGTTACCATGCTGTTTCTCAATTATTAATATAAAAAAATTGTGTGTGTGTGGGGATCAAATGCACATGCATACAGCACACACACACACACACAAAAAATAAAGTAAAGTTGGTAGTAGCCTTTGAGGTTCAGATTAGAGATCATTCTGGATATTTGACGTCTGGATCTCGGACTTTGTACAGTATTTTAATTGCTCAACATTTATTTCATTGTTTAATCATGGCAAACAAACCATAAGATATTCTTACCAATAACTTCTTTTTCACATCCAGTTTCTGTCTTAAGACTAATAGTTCTTTTGCTCTCTCTATCCTTTTAGATAATTCATTGTATTGCTGATTCATGTGCTTTGAAGCTTTCTGTTAAAAAAAAAAAGTACAGATGTTGTAAATTTACATACATTATTTTACAGAAATTTTATATCAATTCAGAGATGCACAAATATTATAGCTAAAATACAATTCAGATATATAGAGATTTTCATAATACAAAAAGGATAATGACATTTAAGAGAAATATATAAATACTGCAGTCTCTACAATGAGTGAAAAATAATCCACTCTCCTATTTTAAATATTTTAAATTTATATTTTAATGAAATTTAATATATTATTATTATTTTTTTATATTTTAAATATTTTTAATGAAATAAGTATTTTAAATATTTTTAATGAAAGTATTTCGGTGATCAATGAATGAATTAAACTTAATTTTGAATTCTGAAGTCTGATAAAATTTTATCATTAGATAACAAGCAAGCACAAAATATTTTTAATTACCTAACTGTTAACATTTTTCTTAAACAAGTACAGCCATTATATATATATACATAAAGAGAGAGGGAAGGGGACCTTTTTTGTATTAATTTTTTATCAATATACTCAAAAAATTACCTAGCTGAATAAAATGAAAAAAAAATTAAATAAAATTATATCTTCTGTTATCTCAAAAGTTTTGAGAAATGGTGAAATTTTGATGTTTTTTGTCAATTTTTACTAAATTCAATACTATTGAAATGCTATAGCTCCTAGTGTGAATTTTGGGGCATGCAAAGAAAGAAAAAAAAGTTTAAAAATTATAATGTCAAATTATTTATTAATTGTGCAAAAAGTTGAAAAAAATGATTTTTTGTAAAAATTGCAAAATTTCATACTTTTTGCTAAAAATTCCACATTGTGTAATTGTAAATGTTTTGTAACAATATACATGATTCAGACAATTCTTATGTCATTGATAGAAACAAAATAACAGGAGGAAAAACTCATAATAACAGAAATTATTTGCTGAATTTTAAGGAAACACTACATGGTCTGTACTTTGATGAAGAAAAGACTATGCGATCATAACTAAAAAAAATGTATTCAAAGCATTTTCAAAGAACTAAAGAGAGGACTATAATCCTCTCATACAAGAACCAGGATCAGAATGTGTTGGCCACGTTCGTCCCTTTAAAAGACTTGCTAAAGATATAGCTTCTACTATAATTTCCTATTTGACTACACGTGAGATTCCCCTTGAAGAACTTGATGTGATAGGAAGCAATATAACTGTAATTAATATTGATTTGAAAAATAGTGTTATCCACCAGATTGAATTGCATGTTGGAAGACCACTGCAGTGGACTACGTATCTTCTACACTTCAAAGAACTGCACTTCCATCACTAGGATGGTGTTATCACAAAGCCAAAATCCTTCAGGGGACCATGAAAAAAACTTGCTGGCTGTGAAAAACTTCCAATGGTTTGCTTTGAACGTGTTAAATTTTGCATTGAAAGTGTTGAGCAAAGATCGGTTATACTTACTTGATATTTCTGCTGCCATAAAGTCAGGTACAATTTTAGAAGATTTAGCAGTTAATGATCCTGGTCTGCTTTCACACTCAGAGGATCGCAAAATCAAATTCTCAGATTTTATGTGAGCTTAGAAAAATATATTGATGGAATTAGGCAGTTGATATCTATTATTTTGAATTGTTACATACTTCTCTGGTTCAAAATCAAAACCAGCAAAAATTTCACAGATGGTCCAAATATAGCTTCTGAAGCCATCAGAATATCATGATATCTAACTCAAAATTTATTGTAGGTCATCAACCCATAAATTCAGTGGAATACTTCCTTTGCTCATCCGAAAAATTTGAATCTTGCAATGATTGTGTATAAAAGAAGATATATCAGAGAACTAGGGCATCATTGATTAATCACTTTCTATGAGAAAAACTATTTGATACTTCACCACACCAAAACTCAACCTCAAAGCAACAGATTATTTTATTTTTATTTTACAAATGCCAAACATTAGTGCTTAAGCCATTAGTTCACAGACTCTCCAGTACTTTTTAAAAATGTCCTCACATCGAGAAAGTGCAATACAATTATTTAAATGTTCAAAAAATCATAGGCTGATTGGAGTCACACAAAACATAGTTTGGGGAATTCACCACTCTAGTTCTGTAGAGGTGGTCTCGTAAACAGTCATGTTCAGTCAGATGTTTAAATACAGCTACAGCTGTCTTTCTTGCAAAACTAGGACTAAAAGTTGTCTCTTTCCCAGAATCTTCCATCTCTTATCCATAGCACATTGAATCATATCCTGTTTAAGAATTTTCTTAAGAGTTAGGTTAACAAACAAACAAAGCAACAGACTATGTCAACATCATTTGGTAGGATAACTGAAGTTTCTCTCTGTCTCAATCATTAAGGATTATTAAGAATGATGACATTAAGAATCTATTAAAGATTGCTGCAAATTGATTTCCAAAGCTTCTCTTGTCAATGCGCAGGCTGTAGAATGGTGTGTCAAACTTGAGACCCAAGCATCTAAAAAGGCATCTGGTGCTGATGCAAGAAATGACTTGATTAGGATGACCCTCTTATTAAGGTTTGGTTTATTTAATTATGGCAAAGCACACTAGGGCTATCTGCCTAAGAAGAGGGATGCCTTCGTGGAGGACTTTTTAAGGGAAACTAGCTCATATACACGTTACACACGGGGAAAACCACGAAAATGCCCAATTCAGCCAGCCCGTTCACGGGATTCGAACCTCGGACCAAACTGCCAGCGTTCAGTGACTTTACCACTCAGCCGCTCCCTCTTATTAAGATCTATTATGCCAGCATTAATAATAATAATAATAACTTTAAGGTGCACTCTTTTGGGGAAAAAAAATAAAAATGATAAATATATTCACCATTTGTTTACTAAAAACCAAAAAGTAAGATTATCAGAAGTTACAAAATATTGTGAAGAGCTTTGTACAAACAATAAATGATTTCAAATTGCAGGTTTTAAACATTTTTTTTTGTGTTCCTCATGCCCCGAAATTCACATTAAGAACAACTGCATTTTGATAATAGTAAGTTTAGTAATTATAAAAAACTGACAAAAAAGAGCAAAATTTCATATTTTTCAAAACTGTGTGTGATGAGCGAACGGATTGCATTTTTATGTGGAAAACGTTTTTGTTTCATTTTTCATAGCTATGCGATAGACAACTTTTTCGAGGTACACTGATAGAAAAATTAAAAAAAAAAAAATTTCAGCCCACTTTGAATAGTCATGCCTTATATCTATGATCTAGAGAAGCAGAAGGAAAAATTACAGAATATAATCTTTGAAATGCATACAAGTGACAATAGATGCTACAGCATAAAAAAATAAAATAGCCAAAACAAACATATTGTCTTCTTACAGTAACAATGTTGCTTTCAGACTGATGTTAACTAAATTCACAGAAAGGAAATGATCCTTGGGTAACTTTATGTGTATTCTCATGTTACAATAATCTCTTTAAGCTCATAATTCTAACCTGATGGCCAAAAATATGTTGGCAGAGAGTCATGGCTGCGAAAGGTCAGAATATTTGACTTAAGTCTGATTTTCACACAATACTTCTCTGTAACAGGATTTACTCCACTTTGCATATATTTGTTAGTGCTTGTACTGAGTGAGACATAACGTCAGAAAGACTATTGACAAATTTAATGTAAAGGCAGTTTATACTGTAGATTTCAGGTTATTAAACTAATTATAACATGATTTGGATTAAAAATATATATAATTCCTTGCTCTCAATTTTTTTAAAGTTCAGTTTTGTTACCTTACAACGAATAATTATTTTCAAAGTGGTTTTAAACGTGATGGAAGAAAAAAAAAAAAATCTAGTGAGCATAAGCAATGTACCATTTATAAATTTAAAGCAAAATCAAATTATTTACCTATTAAACATAGATTAGTCATCATAAAATTATCTACAAACTACTGTAATGGATTAGAACAGTTAAAACCACCATAAAAATTAATCAGAAAATTTATGCTGAACATCACTTGGAAGGGAAATGAATTTTCACCGTCTGAATTTCATTTATAAGCAGCATTGCTGTTGCATTAGTTTGTTTCACGAAATTGTCATCAATTTATTTTTCCTAATTGAAAGTTACTCAAAAAAAATTCTTTAAGAACTGCACCTCAAAAAATATGATTGAATTCAGGTAAAAAGATGAGAATAAGATATCGAGAAATTCGAAGATTTATCAAGGGATGTGAATAGAAATCAGGAAGGTTGTGCAATTCTACAATTCACATGCTTATAAAGTTCAAACTCGAGTAATGGATCCAAAATCAAATAGTGATGCTAATAGAACTTAGTAAATCTTAGAATGTGTCACTTATAGTTATAGAGGCATTATTTTCATATCATAAGCTACCTGCACTGATTTAAATATTTTTACTACATGCAAGAACTCTCTTTTTAGGTAGACAGCTCCTTGCCTGTTTTACCCTTGTTCAGCTGCTCAGTTATATGAATTTTACCATCTTAAACTTTCAATACTAGTATTAAATTAATTATTTTCTTACAGTAAGTTTGAAATACCATTCTGACTGATTTAAATGTTAATACTTTAGGAAAAGTTTATTGACTTTCTATTTAAGTAAAATTATTTAACATACGGAACATATAATGGCCTAAAATTTATAAAATATTTTTTATTTATACTAAAATAAAACTAATTTATACTTAATAAAACTTTAATTTTTTTCATTTATGTGATAAATATTCTACAGAACACGCTCTGGCATTTTGTTTTCTTCCAACCCTGCTGGCAGTAGTTATCATATTAGGTGGTGTTGTATGCAGGATTCTTCTTTAACATATATAATGAATTTGTGGTAGCCAAGTGGCTTGTGTGATTTATAGCTCACAGTTGTTCAAGGCAATGATATTTTTAGTGGAAGCTTTGCTCATGGAGACATCTATGGGTCAAATCAGAAAAGGAATGCGAGAGAGCTCATAGGCTTAAGGACAGAACTCGAGTCTATGTCATCAGAGTGAAAGACTCTACCTCGTCCTTCGGTGAT